GGGGGGGGGGGGGCTACCCTAATCTACATATTTACCGAAGATCAATATGTATTCTATAAACATAGTCCTCAAAACCGATGTTATTCAAAGATACATTCCTTCGAACATTTGGATACGTTAATACATTTTGATATGAAATATATAATATCTCGTAAACTATTCATGTTTTGATAACTGTATCTTAATATTTTTGCACATAATAATAAGCTAAAGTAATTGATGTAAAGAAAACATATAGTTGCTTTTAAAAATATATATGTAATTTGCAGTATGTAATTATACATATATTACTTTCTTACTTTAAAAGTGATAGAATTAAAAAAATTAAGTTTCCCAGAAAAGGGGAGCAACTATTTTTCAACTTGACAGAAAATTGACTAATCAAATAATATCGATAAATATATATTCTTAACATGATAAATGTCATTTTTGTTATTTCCTTTTCACAATCCTTAAGAAATCACTATTTTTGTTGTGACAATTTTGACGATCTTTTTTATTTAAAAAATCATCTTTTTTGAGTTGTGAGACGGTTTTTTATAAAGTCAAGTTAGTTCACTTATAGCGTTTTTCACTGGCAAAACTGATGCGCACTCAGTGCACATTAAAGCTGTCGTACACTAACTTAATCCGAATGTAAAAGTGAGATATCTCAATTAATAAAATATCCAATGTATATTTTATCAAATATCATAATAAAATATATTGAGGATTTCGCGGTTTAATCCGTTTTTATATTTTTATTAAACGTACATCTTTACATCAATTTGTGTAAAACGGCTTTAAAGTGCACTGTGAGTGCGCATCAGCTCTGACAGTGAAAAACGCTATTAGATGATTGATAAGATAATATTTACCTAACTCATTTACGGTAATAATTTGAAAGTATATACACTGAGAAAAATTTCCGGGCTTTATCCGTTCAAAAAGTAACAAACAGATATTTCCAATTGATTTTGATCGGATTTATAAGACTATCCGATCAAATTCATCGGATAGTTCTGTAAATCCAATAAATTTAATCGGATAGTCTTATAAATCCGATCAAAATCAATCGGAAATATCTGTTTATTACTTTTTGAACGGACATTTTTCTCAGTGTAGTTAATATTTCGTTCAATATTAAATATAATGAAATATCTGAAAGTGAGGGTGTGTGTGTGTGTGTGTGTGGGTGAGAGAGCATAAATGTGTAAAAAAAATTTAGCACATTTATTTTATTCGATGCGATTTGAAACATAAACCGAAGTAAACATGTATTTTTTTACACAAAAACTTCATATATAAATATAAATAAAATGCGAAATTTTTCTCTGTATAATACGTTTTATAACAAACATTGATCAAGCTCATGCTATTTTTATATGATTTTTTATTTAATATCAATATAAAAATATACAAAATCAATGGTTATATAACACTGAATTTTAAAATTACTTTGAAATTATTAATAAATATTTTATATATATTGTACTTCATTCTTTTTAATTTTGTGCTGTACAAATGCAAATATTTTTCAAATTTCAGTTGTTTGCAAGGTTATTTAAAACAAAATTATAAAGTTTGAATGTCATTTAACTACGAACAAAAAATGAGATCCGGATAAGTTCGATGACAAATGTAAGTAAGTTGGATTTCGCGATATTATTCAAATGCGTGGCCGAGCATTAATATAAAACAGTACCTGAAGTGAAAGAGCTATGAGAACCGAGACCGTTATCAATTACGCATTCCTGCGTTGCAAGGCTACGTTTGAGAGAGCCATACATGGATTCTTCGAGACCCGTCATAATTTCACCATGATTATACGCGGGAAGCAAATGGTTTCGTGGTTTCACCATCTCGTACGAATTACAGGATATAATCGTCAATTATTGATGCTCGTCCACGATGAAGGCACGTTGTTATTGTTTTAGAATTGTTGATTTCTACGAATTATATTTCCTACAATGTGTGTATGTGAGCTCTAATCAAATTCTATTAGCAGCTAGCTACGACTATCATCTGCTATTAGGACTGTAATATTGATAACAGCATTCAATTACACTGAAGATAAAGTAGTTGATGAAGGTGTGAATTAACATTTATAAATGCAAGTAATATTACGATAATATGTGTTTTCATTATAAAGATTATGTGCTTCGCGGATTTTCTCCGTGTCCAGATCCATTCTCGGAATGCTAACGTTTCGTGAATCTTGCAGTCCACTTCATCAGGGCGAGAAGCATCCTGATACTGTATCAGGCTGCTCCTCGCCCTGATGAAGTGGACTGCAAGCTGCAAGGTTCACGAAACGTTGGCGTTCCAAGAATGGATCTGGACACGGAGAAAATCCGCGAAGCACATAATCTTTATAATAAAAACACATATTATTTAAATATTAATGTTTTAATTTCTACATTTTTAAGTAAATAATACACAAATATATTTTATATAAGATACTATTAATAATTATTTTACATTTTTATAAAAAATGTCTCAGCTCCTATATTTTTAAAATATTTAGATGATAGCAAAAAACTATGAAACCGTCAATAATTTATAATTATATATAATGATATATAATATAATATAATTTAAAATTATTATTTTAATTCTTTTATTATTGTACATTAGATGTATAATTATATATAAATATTATAATCGCATGTGTATAAAAAATGAATTGCGATGTAAGTTTTAATTACTTAACATCGACACAGTCACGACGGTCTGATTCTGAAATGAAGTGAAATTCAACTACAACATGCTAATTAAAATTCCTAGTAGTGAATTGCTATTCGCGAAAGCTGTGACGTACCTTGTCGAACGTTTCGTCTCGCTCCGATTACACAAATAGGATTACGAGTAACCTGTTTCCTTTTTGAACG